ATTTTGTTCTGGTTTGTATCGTTATCAATGTTATCAGCGTTGTTGTTTTCCTGACTGTTTCTTTCAAATTTGTTTCATGTACGCAAGGTACATGTACTATAAATAAATAAATAACCCCTATACAGAAGTTTACCGATTTTGGTGAAAACAAGGGTCGTGACAAGGTGACGCCAACTGGCGCCAGATGGCGCCACCGCTAAAAATGAATGTCGTTTTCGTAATCAGCATATCGAATTACCCCTATGGGCAAGTTACGGTTGTCTCTAGATGTACGCAAGTGCACTGCACCAGCGAGGTGTTTTTACGGCGCGGGCTTATCTACCGGAAATTAGGGTGATTCCCCGAATGGAGTCATATGATAACTATTCAATAATGATCCCCATCGGTGTAAGTTCTTACTCGATAAAATTACTATAACTCAAACACGACATACTTGATGATGTTTCTCAGGGAGTATTTCAGGAGACGTCAGTAGGAGCTTAGATTGCTTAACATCCTGAACCAAATGGGAACATGAAGGAAATGAAAAAAGTTAAGTAGGAAATAGATTCTGCGGTAATTAGTTCACCTCTAAGTGATTGTCATAATCAGGAGAATGTCCTCGTTCGTCGTGGCAAAGGCCACTATTTGTGGCAACAGCAAGCCTTTTTGTTGGACTGGGCATGCTGTAGTCTACTGCTGAAATGTACCGATACAATAGTGTAGATCATGTACAACCTTGTGGAGGAGATCCATGTTATTTGATTTATTTAGCATTTTCCAGCGTTTGTATATTTTTCTGACATGAATCAAATCACCATTAAAAATGCATTAGCTAAAATAGTGAGCTGTTTTTTAGGTGAAACTAAGAAAACTGCGTTCCACTCCACAAGTATAAAATCAGAAACGGAAGCCCCACCGATGAACTCCAATTCTGCCTTACCTTCTCCCGCACGAATTCCATGTGCTTGAGGCGGCATGGACGTCACTGCGGTGTTTCCTTCACGTCGAGAACTCGGCTGAAGATTAACAACGAATATGGATGTCACTAATGTTTAACTTCAAATCATGGCTCCATAAATGCAACCTCGTCATAGCTGAATAATTTGACGGGGCAATCACCCACCAAAGTCCCTGTCGTTCTTCGACAATACGGTGTAGTTTTGAGAGCACGTCCAAGCGGTTTAACAAATTTGGAATCGGAAGGAAAAACTAAACAGAATAGCAAGGTTAGAGCCGTTTGGTCGAACAAAACAACAGCAAACTATATCAAGATCAGCGTCACCTACGTGAACAACGTTCTCCACAAATAAAGTGCTCTTCTGAAGAGAAAGATTGAGAAAAATCGTCCACAGCAGCAAGTGTCGTTTTTTGTTCTTGCAAGAAACCGATAGGTTGTGGCTCAGAAGATAGTACACAGAAATCCGGATATCTAAACAAAGCGAAGGCACAAAACTCTTGTAACCCAGTGAGATTACGAGAAGCAAGAGTAAACATACAAAAAAGAACTTCTTATTCCATTACAAACCCACAATTGAGAATCTCAGTCTTTTAGTGGCAAATCGTATCCGTGCTAAAACCACCACATTACCATCAACATTGTATTGTACTTCATGAATATAGCCATATTGAGTAACTCGATAGTAATTGTAAGAAACAACCCCCGTACTTACGCAGTTTTTCCAATAAGCTCGCATCTCCGCATAGTTAGCAAATCCGGAGTCTGGAGGAAGACCGCTGTACCTGGCCACCAGTTGTCCTCGACCGAGTCTAATGATAATATATCATTTCACTCAGCAATAATGAAAATGAGAGTCCGATACGAAAACATTACGAGTAAATTTTATCAGAATTATTTCAAGGCAAACACCTAATTTCCTTCAGTTTTCCCGCGTTCTTTTCTATAATGATACAATTTTCTCACTACTCTTGTAGCAGCATTTTCGTTTTTAGCAAAGGAAGCGGATGGAATCTAACTGTCAATTAGAAACTAAGCATACCCTATTACGAACTGAACAATGGTTGCTCTAAAATACAATTCGCACTATGTTCGTCTTCAAAGGCTTCGTTGAAAGGCCCATACATGTGAAGATCGTAGGCCGGCATCGGGGCTTACGGCCGCTTTTATACCTTATGCTGCCGGAAACGCGTTACAAGCATCAGGGTTGACACCCAGGTCACACTATACAGTCTATGTGGTTGGGGTAGTTGGGGTAGGCGTGCCACCGGCAGCAACCGCACTTGATAGAATGTCGCGTGGATAAGCTGCTTCCAACATACATCGCTGGATATCAGCAAAGCATGCTGGCAACAGCTTATCCACGCAACTTCTATCAAGTGCGGCAGTGCCACGTCACTTCCGTGACACGGTGGTGGTACACGCCTACTCCAACTCTCGGATGTGGACTGCACAACTTTCGCGCGGTTGACTCATTCCAGGATAGCGCGAGCTGTGGATATTGCTAGGACCAACCTGCTCGATATGTGTCTCATCTTAGCGGCGCATTCCACGGACTCCTCACTTTCCTTACATTCCGCGGCGGAGCAAGGTATCAAAGGACCAGAGAAAACGATCAAACGTTTCTCACTGATTGCAACAATCTTCCACAGCTCTACAGCTAAGCATAGAGGAAGGAACCTATAGACAGAGAAGCGGCAGATTACAGCTACAAGTCTCTTGCGATGCGGAACCTTCGTTTGGGCTATAAGGTTGTGTAGTCCGTTGATCCATCCACTTAGAGCTTTCACAGATGGAAGCTCCTTTAACTACATGGAAGAAAGGGAAGTGCGTCATTCGCAGAATACATCTGCAGGTTCATTTTACGAAACAGGATGAAAAAGGAGAATGACGAGTAAAGTGTAGCGTGTCTATCAAATTTTTCTAAAGAGAAGGCTTGCACACATCAAAAACCATGATAATTCAAGAATTTCGATGCTTTTGGGAGGAGAGAAGCTAGTAGAGATTCCCATCATACCAATGAATTTCGAAGACAGCCTGCTGGGACAACTGTGCCCCCATAATTAATTGCTAATTACATTCTATCTCGATCGAAATGAAAACTTCAACCACTGCAAGTCAGCTGTATGAACAGGAAAAAGCTGTGCACTAGTTTGAAAAACACAAATATAAAATATCTTGAGGATATACTCAATTTTCCAGGCGACACAGAATTCAAACCCACACCGTTGCAAAAAGAGAAATCCGGGCCTAGGGATGCTGTGCCGGCTGTCAACACCCACAACCAGCTATCACGGTCAACCGTCGTGTTTTGCCGATTTCGCGATTTCGAAATTTTACACTCCTCCCCCCCCCCTCTTGCAGTGGTGCCGAGCCGACCTTCACCTCACCCCTCTATTATCGCCACCATAACACAACTTCAAACTTCGCCACCACGGAAATCCCCTTTCAAAAAACCAAAATATGACTACCATACAGTAATCGCCCCTTTTCCAACGCACAAAAACCAGCATACCAACCCCCTCTGGCCCAACCCACAAATTATGAAACAATTTATCGCTTAAAACGCACGGTTACACCCTGCCACCACACGCCTTGATATTAAGGATTACGATTCTTCAAATGCTTCCCAGGAGCACAGTTTATCGAAACTGACAGTCCGGGGGCTCTGTATTATTCAAAAACCGGTCAACAAGCCTATTTATCCTCCTCCTAACGACAAACCGCAATCGATATTCAATAAGGGACGAGAATTACTGAGGCAACACTGAACTTAAACGGAACTAGAAGGAATTCCACGATTGTTTACGATCAACGAGTGTTATCGCGATTGCGTAGGGCTTTCAGACGGCAGAAAGGAAACGCCGCGATGTGGTATGCCACAACAACACAACCCTTATGCAAAAACATGCCCAACCGAAACACCTCCCTGCGTTCTATCACTATCACGAGCGCCGCCTGTGGGAAATATAACCAGAACAGTTTGCTGATTGCAGCTACCCCTTCAGAACCAAAAGTCAATTGCTTTGGAATTTCAATCAGCAAAATAGTAACAACATTAGGAAAGACGGTTATAAATGGAAAACTCATGAATCACAGCAAATAATTCCCGAGGCGCAAGGTCATCCCGTTTGTCCAGCGTAGACGATAAGGTGAAATGCTCATGTGAGAAACGCCATACCTGCTGAATCCATGTTATATTAGAAGCTATTTTATCGGATTCACGAGGCATTGCCAACTAGAAATTCTCAACTTCCTTTCATTCCTACACCCCAACCCGTGCCAGAAAATCTCCAGGACAAAGCGCTGACTCGTCTGAAGCTGGTGTCAGAGTCCGCATCTGTCGCAAGTTACGCTGATTTTCGCGATTTTCGCGATTTGCACGAAACCTGCGACGGATCGCAAAAATTGCAAGTGTGTGGAACTTTGGAACACTGAATATGAAACAAGTGGAATCATGAGCAGTCGTCATTCAGCCATCACTATCAAGCAGAAGTGGCGGCAGGATTGGAGAACACCTTGCAGTATTGATCGGGCACTTGTGATTTCCGTGACCCGTCGCGTGAATCGCGCAAATCGCGAAAATCAGCGAAACCTGCGACGGATCGCGGACTCTGACACCAGCCTAAGAGCGCACGGTTGCAAGGCGCACACATGACAGAATAAGCACTGAACCATTAGACTCGTAGGTCAGGTCAACCCAAAGAACTTCGCTTCAAAACAGCGAAGGAGAATTCAGGAAGCATGGATTATTTGCAGAAAGTTAAACTATGAGGATAAGTGCAAGCAAATATTAGTGTTGCTCGTATCAGTATAGTCGTACCGGTCGGAAACCAGCTGTATAAATTATTCGTAACAACAAGCAGTGCAACCGACTCCCACACGATGAGCACGTGAAAGACCGACTGAAGAAAAAAAACACTGAAATCGGAATGAGGATAATTCATACGGGCCTCCAAACCCTACCAAGTGAACCGTTGTTTTCAGAGGAAATGTTGGAAAGGAAACCATGCAAAAACGCGGATTCAGTCGCTATGGTCATAACCACGGCTGAAGAAGCTGCAATGTTATAGATAACATGACTAAATAATAGGCAGTGACGTGTGCCACCACACGCTGATCAGCACGGTGGTATGTTCTCCAAGAATATTGAGACGTTCCTTTGTTAAGCATGAATAATAAACACCACTCTCACGTCGGCCACATCACAAAATAATGCACAGGCACACATATAGAAATGTATGGGATAGCAAAGCGTAGACTACATTGCGCATCGATTGCGTGATTCACGATCGCCAGGATGCTGCGGTTTCGAATCGCTCCATGCTATGACCGAGAAAGGAGCACAAAATGTTTGAAGGAAAGCTCAAACAAGTTTTATTGTGTGTGGACTGCTGACACCCATGTTCTTAGATATGGTAGTTCAGAGAGAAGAGCCGTAGACCCCTCCTAAGGGGAGGGGAGGGGTTGGAAAATTTCGAAAAAGTACAATGGCGACAGTGACACTGCCTCTTTCTGTCTTTCGAGTACCCAATCAAACTCAGCCAAACGTTAGGGTAAACCTAGGCGAACTTCCCTAGATTTGATATTTCCCAACACTGCCCACTCCGGCAAACACGCCCCCTCCCTGCAGGTTTAAATTCCGAAATACATGTCTGGCTGCTTTTAGGGGATCCCTTTGTCACACACAGGAAATTAGCAAGGAAACCAAAAAACTTTCAGCGAAACTTGAAGAATTGAAACTCACTTGGGCAAACAGTAAACCCAGCGTGGCTCTATTGAAGACTCTTGAAATTGCCAGGTTTCCAAAGGCAACAAACGAATTGTTTCAGGCGATATGCGAAGGAACACGTCTCCAGCCGAAGTACAATGCACCGAGAATACTGCAACAAAGAATGAGCGGTAGTAGTAAAGAGTCTACGTAATTCCCGGGAGTCAAACACTCACAGATTCTTACCACCTTGGAGCAGTTTGTTCCTAGGAACGGTCCTTTGAGTAAAGCCTTACCACATCGATAGTATTGATGTGGTTCGAGCCAAACAACTATCGAGTATCGAAGACACTCCTCCAGGGAAGCGCTGTCAGCTCGATCGACCGATTTGATCTACAATACACTTCTATCAAATTTGACATCCATCTGCATGTTTTTATGGATAAAATACTCGACAAAGCTTGTTCCATTGAAACAAGGGTGCCTTATACAAGTAGGGGGGGGGGGTCGGGCCGCCGCATTTGAACGGAAATCTATGTCGGGGCTGTGTCAGAGTCCGCGATCCGTCGCAGGTTTCGCTGATTTTCGCGATTTGCGCGATTCACGCGACGGGTCACGGAAATCACAAGTGCCCGATCAATACTGCAAGGTGTTCTCCAATCCTGCCGCCACTTCTGCTTGATAGTGATGGCTGAATGACGACTGCTCATGATTCCACTTGTTTCATATTCAGTGTTTCAAATGTTCACACACTTGCAATTTTTGCGATCCGTCGCAGGTTTCGCGCAAATCGCGTGAATCGCGCAAATCGCGAAAAAATCGCGCAAATCGCGAAAAATCGCAAAAATGTATGCGAAACCTTGAGACAGATCGGCGCGAACTTGACACCAGCTAAGTGGGACTGCTGCTACTACACTGTCACGAGAATCGGGGAAATCGTGAGCCAGGGGAGTGTAGCCATTCTAGGGGGTGGGGGGGAGAGGGCAGCCACTTGATATGCGTGAAAGGCTGGGCGTGCCTACCCCACTTGCAACGGAGTGATCATTTTGTACTCCTACTGACTAGTATAGGGCGCCATTCGTTGCGGGACCCACTGCCTTAACCCGCGGGGATCCCATGCGATCGCGGTTGAATTCGAACATTCCAGCTTCTCACGCATGTCAAGTGTCTGCCCTCACCCCCCACCCCCCTAGACTGGCGACACTGCCCCTGGCTCACGGATTCCCCGCTCCACATTGAAGGGTTCACTGTAGCAGGAGGCAGTGGGACCCGTAACGAATGGCGTCCTTTACTAGTCAGTAGGAGTACAAAACGATGCGCTCCACTTGCACAAGCACGAAATAAGCAATGAACAGATAAACTGAATATCCCACCGTAACACACTGCTCACGTAGCCAGTTGTGAAACTTGGCAGCTGAATTTGAAACATGGTCGACTTTGCCCACAATCATAAATTCCTTTAGATCCTTTCGAGGCGCTACCAGAGTTCCCGTGACGGCGAATTCGGACAAAAAATCTCTGAAAGTTTTTTTTCTTTCAATTCAGTGCTAGGAATGGAGTGCAATATCACTCGGCACTAAGGTTCGAGGTTCGATTACCCTGTTTCCAAAATTCAGATGGTCACCGTGTGCAGACCATACACCACAAGTGACGACGGCCTCCACAAAATGTAAATGTTTTCTGGCCAATGATTAGCCTGTTGCAGTTGTATTCTGTCAGTTGTCACTAATTACAGCTATTATTTACCAAAATCAGCTATCACTATGAACCACTAGTTTTCGCCGTCACTTGTAGTGTTTGGTCTGCACTCGTATAAGCCATACGGATTCCGGAACAGACGGTTTATTTGCCACCGAACTTGGCGAATCCTGGAATTAAGAATGTATAGCATACATTATACGAAGTTATACGACATTGTTCTGAATGGGAATTCATCATGTGAAAATGATGAGTGAGAACAAACAGACATGCGGAGTAATTCTCATGGCAAAATAATGTACTCATCACTCGTTCTAAGCGCTTAGTGATTCTGTTTTACACCACTCAGTTATTCTTTTGGCATGATTGTAGAGAAACAGGCAATGGGGACAATGGAGACAGATAAAGACTGGCATTCATCAATTATTTATAAAATGGTCTACTGTCAAGCAGTAGCCCTGCACAATTGTGATTCAACGTCCCTGCACCATCATGCTTGAAAATAAGTACCATTGCGCAAGCGTTAAATCAATACGCATTTATTAGTCGGTGGGCAGGAGTCTGGAGTATAGATGTGCAGTGTTCACTCCCGAGCGCGCACCCCCGGAGCCGGATATCAGTGTTCACTCGAAAATCCATAGGCTTTTCGAGGAATCCTCCCATCATAGCTACATAGAAGAACTTCGGGTCTATTCCAGTTAGGGGGCATCATGATGCAGTTTCTCGGCGAACTAGTGTGAACTCGAACATTCCAGCTTTTCACGCATGTCAAGTGACTGCCCTCACCCCCCACCCCCGTAGACTGCCTGGCTCGGAGTTACCCTAGCTTTCTGGAAAAACTGCATCAAGATGCCCCCTACTTGGAATAGACCCGAACTTCGACTCATGTCAGTTCCAACTTCTTTTCCGTCACTTTCCGTCACAAATAGAATGCAAGACTTCTGTCAACCGAAGGGTGAGAGTGTAAATGGAAAAGCATACGAAAAAGGAAATAGAGAAAGCAGTTTCTGTAATGGAGGGCATGTGTGAGAGCTTCCAGACAGCACACAAAACGTCAAATTGCCTAGCCTCACGGTTGACGAATCCTGAGACCTACAAAGTGCACTCTCTTTCCCGCGGTCGCACATGTCGCAATTTCAGAATAAGCAGCGCAGTGACATCAGCACCAAAGAGACAAACGTACACCTAATACTGACTTATTTTCTGGGACTGTCCAATCACGACATTTCCAGCCGCGGGAAGGAGCTAGCTGTCTGATGTCATGTGCGCTACTGCTGCCGTGTCTGCAATCACGACACGTCTCGCCGCATGAAACAAGGTTCAGTATGTACCTGCACATTTTTTGTTGTATGCCATGTGGCGACGCCGATCTGCCATCGACTCGTTGGTTGATCTCCAAGTGAAGAACTCTACACTCCTCAAGATGAACGGAACAAAGTCTGTACATAGCGGAGAAATCCTGCACACCTAAAATTTTATTGGAATCAGAACAATTTTCACGTTGGTTTCCAAAGCAGTTTTAGATTTATATTTCTGCTCACATCACCGAAATAATAGCGAGGATTTGTTTTTGAATGTCAATTAGCACAACAAACCAAGGTTACACAAGAAAGGGACCATCAAAATAGTATTGCTCACCTCGACTGCTGTCAGAGTTCCGCGATCCGTCGCGTTATTGATTGCCGTGCCACGAATATGACACTTGTTTTCGGGAGACGGTCAAGTCCCCCGCGACCGCCGCGCCAAAACTAGGTCACCGCGCGCGACGTCGCCGGCGTTTTTGCAGTTTGGCAATTTGCCAAGTTTAGGACCCTCTCTAGACGATCGATACAACGCTTTTTTGTTCCGTCTGTGTAGGCCCCATTTCTGCATTTGTTTCAGTTTAATTCTAGCAAATTGCCGCGGGGAGACGGTCAAGAGTCCCCTCGACCGCCGCGCCAAAACTAGGTTACCGCGCGCGATGTCGCCGGCGTTTCTGCAGTTTGAAACATGGCAATTGGCCAAGTTCAGGACCCGTCTCACTTGACGATCGGTACACGATCGATACAACACGTTTCTGTTCCGTCTGTGTAGTCCCCATTTCTGCATTTGTTTTGCTTAGTCCTAGCGAATTGTCACGTTTCAACTTGTAAGGTCCGGTAGCCGCCGCGTGCGGTGACCTACTTTCGCTTGCGCGGCGACCGCAGGGGGACTCTTGTCTCGCACCCGCGTTTCCAGTGTCCGTAGTCCGAATGAGGGCATTAATTTTTAGGCAGTAGCGCAAAGTGCACACCAATGGCTCTGGCCGCCCAACGCAGGTGCTAACTTAGTTGGGGGGGGGCACGCGGCGGCGCGGCAGTCTGCTCACCTGGGCTCTCTCGAGCGAGACAGTGTAAACTCGAACATTCCAGCTTTTCACGCATGTCAAGTGACTGCCCCCACCCCCCCACCCCCCTAGGCTGGCTACACTCCCCCTGGCCCACGGATTTCCGAACATGCCAGGCGAGCAGACTGCCGCGCCGCCGCCGGCCCCCCCCCCCAACTAAGTTAGCACCAGGGTCAACCCTATGTTGCTACAAGTAGCAACGGGGGGGGTCGTACTTGGATGGACCCAGAGGGGGGGTCGTACTCTCTCGGTGGCCGGCAGCGGGATTTGTGGTAATGTCCCTACTGATCATAACCATGTTTCAGGAAGAGCATGAGAAAGGAATACTCGCAGAAACAGCAGCTGCAAGACATGTAGCATCGTACAAAAAAGTGCCCCCACCATGACATGGGTCCACGCACGTAACCACATTTGAAACTAAAGTGTAGCTGGAGTATTGCCTAAGACAACATGGACAATAGTCACCACATTACGTTTACGCAAGATAATTGATGCTAGAGCATCTGTAAGCCGCTTCCTTCTGAATGAGCTTTCAAATGATCAGCGAATCAGGAGTGCGACCGAGGCGTGGCGCACACCAAGACAGGGGGATACCAGTGCAAGCACATGCACAAAGCATTCTGACACATCCTATCGTCAGCACGATCTCGTTTTCCCTGAAGGTTACGGGCAGTGAAACCTAAAAAACCCGCTTTCTTGAAAGAATGGCTTGGAAAATGCCCTTCAAAAAGGATGTAGCAACGGGACTAATTTTTGAACTACTGACTTTTAAGAAACTTTTGGGTACTTTTTAGAAAGCTTGAATCCTCTAGTTTCTCATACCGTGTTCAGCTTCCCAAATAAATGAGTTTGAAGGAAGTTATGGTCGTTTGAAGGTTGAAAAGTCGCGGTTTCAGAAAAATAGTTCCGCGAAACCCCCAAAAAAGTAACAACGGGACTAATTTTTGAACTACTGATCTTTCAGGAACGCTTGGGTGCTTTTAGAAAGCTTGAATCCTGTAGTTTATTATACGTGTTCAGCTTCCCAAATGAATGACTTTGAAGGAAGTTATGATCGTTTGAAGGTCAAAAAGTCGCTTTGCACAGAAAAAAGTTTCAACGTGCTAAATTTTTACTAAATTAGCTTTCGCTCAAATTTCAGCCATGATTGGAGAGAGAATGAGTTGAATTTTTTAAATCAAATAACTCCGGCGCGAAAGCTCGAATATGAAGAAAGTTATAGCCCTAAAAAGAGGAAGGTGAAAATTGTAGTGCAAATTCATTTCTTGTTCAATAACTTAATTATTTCAGATTGTTTAAGAACAAATCCGCTCTACTTAAGAAGGATGACCGTCGGTGATCCAGAATCCACCTCCGTCTTCCGAGGAACCTGAAATTTCACGAGGAAAAATTCTTCTACTTCTCGATTTCCCCTTTCGACACCTGTTCCCCTTCAACAAACGCGCCCCACTGCGGTCACCGAGGGCGCGATCCACCACAGAAACGTAACCTGTCAAAAACCTGTCAAACCTTTAGCCCTCAGCCATGAGGTCCGTATCATAAATGACTTTATGTCCTAATTCCATGCCTAAGCTTCTTGTCTAAAAAAAGTTTAATTCATATGATTATTATTGTTTAAGTAATCTTATCACCACTTGAGCTACACACAGGGGGGTCGTACCAAATCGCCCATGAAGGGAGGTGGGGGGGGGGGGTCGTAGAAAAAATCCAAAAAGTAGCAACGATAGGACCGACCCTGGTTTAGCCACCCAAAAACGAATGTTAGCTTAGTGAAGAAAGGATTGCTGAATAACCACTGATACTGGCAGATTTCCTATAAGTGTGGGGGAAACAGGTGTTGCGTCATGTCATACAATTTCGCGCCCATAAACTATCATGAGAAAAACAGCTGAAGTCAAGGGGAGTTGAGTCAAGTACTACAGCGCACTTTCGTGGGAGGAGTTTCCCCCACAAGAAAAGCCCGGGAGCAGAAGCGATGGCTGATCTCATCTTACTGTGTACAGAGGATGGGGTACGTCGTGAATAAATGGAGATGAAAGTTGGGAAGGCGGTTGGTTCAGATGGGTACCTGTCGAAGCATGGAAGGCGCTCGGAGGATATGCAATATGTTGTCTCACCCAGATTCCTCATCATCGTTACTGCGGAAGGAAGGTTGCTGGCAACCGCCCGTTGCGCAAAGAACAACGAGGGGGTCGTATTTGCCAATGGAGAGGGGGTCGTAACCTCAAGTACCATTCACAAAATTAGAAGCTGCCAAGGCGTGGCTAAGTGGCAAAGGAGGACAGACTTTCAACTGCCACTGCGACTACGCACCACAGACGATTGAATGGCGCATCCTAGAGCGAGATTTCTTACTAAAATACGTCATGTCCAGTGAGCACAAGCGAAAAATTCTTCCAGAGAAACTCCATGCTTTTAGAACAAATCAAAGTAGAGGAAAGTGCAGCGAATTCGGCTGATTGACCGAGTGAAGCGCCGACCCTGCTACCTAGCCTTCCTTGACCTGGAGAAGGCGTTCGACCGGCTACCACGAGCGGTACTATGGAGAGCGCTCAGGGAACGGAACGTGCCAGAACACCTGGTCTCGCTGGTGAAGGACATGTACGATGGGGCGAAGGCAGCTATACGCGCACCCCACACGGCCTAACGAAGGAGGTGGACATCACGGTTGGGGTGCACCAAGGGTCAGCTCTGAGCCCGTTCCTCTTCCTCCTAACACTAGATGTCCTGGTGAAGGGGCTCATGGAAGGACCACTGAAGACCATCCTCTACGCTGACGACATCGCCCTGATAGCGGATAGTAGAGACTACAACCAAGGTGCAGAAATGGCAGGAAGCCTGGCAGAAGACGGCGGAATGCCAAGAAGGCCAAGTTTCTGAGCTCGGGCCAGGGGTGTCCCCCAAGAGGCCCTGTCGCGCGGCGAAGGAAGAGACGCAGACGCGGCAAAGGACGAGTCGCAGCGCGTGCTGTGCGATATGAGACGTAGTATGGTACACT